TAGTATATTATTATAGTTATATTTCAATTTCACAAAGAAACGTGCAGCATTTTGTCCAAGCAATAATAAAAGGACACATTTAATTTATAGGTTGTCTTAAATCTCATTTTGTTAAAAAAAATCGTGAATCGAATCGTGAGTTGAGTGAATCGTTACATCCCTAATTACAAGCATCAGAATTTCATCATATAAATATCAGCATCTGCAGCAAATTCTATATTTTTGCTCAGTTAGTCTCTGAATAAAATTGAGCTTCATATTCTCACTGTATCAGACTATATGAGCCATAAAAAAAGCAATTATATATATATATATATATATATTGTCTAAAGAATCAATAAACAGTTTCATTTTTTTTTTAAAGACAAGATTTTTCGGGCTATTTTCACGTCAGGCTTTACAGGGTTAAAGACATGTTTATTTTAATACTATTAAGAAATCAACAAGATTATCAAAATAGAATCATTATGCATGTTCAATTTGTGGTCTTTTATTAAATTCTTCTAAGCTACAAATCATTTGACCATTTAGTTTAATAAACACACGAAGGTAAAGGCAAGAATACAGTAAGAGGTAAAGTTGACCTGAGCTCGTTAGCTTTAGCAGGCTAGTCTGGTCGCCACAAGGACAACACTATTAATAAAAACCAACGCATTATTTTCATTAAATATCAGGGTTCTCTCGCTGTACGGAGGTTTACCGTGTTCTTACCATGTTTTTGCGACAGACACGTATTTCTGTCCGATTATTTTGCCCAACATGATCAGACGTGTGTCGAGGAGGACGGCTAGAGCAAGCGCACAGGAAACTGCGGATGTAGCGTCATCAACTGAGCGAGCTGCGCCGGAAGTTCGTTATCGAGGGGCTGGTACAGAGTAAAAGTCTCCAAATTAAAAGTACGATAAATTAATTTAGTATTTATTTTTATTTTATTTAAAATTGCGCTATAAAGTCTTCTTTTTTTATTTCTGACTTATAGGTTTAAAGTAACACGTCACAAAGAAGATGCGTACAAACACAATAAAGCACGATAAATTAATTTAAATTGCATTTATTTTAATTTTATTTAAAATTGTGCTATAAAGTCTTATTTTTTATTTCTGTCTTAAAGGTTTAAAGTAACACGTCACAAAGAAGATGCGTATGAACACAATTCATTTCTATCTATATATATATATATATATATATTATGCAACATTCTAACAGTGCTGTGTATTCTCCAGTGTTGGGGAAAGTTACTTTAAAAAGTAATGCATTACAATATTGCGGTACTCCCTAAAAAGTAAGTTTGAGGAATACCGAATCTGTTTTGTGCTAAATGTGGACATTTAGTCTAGAACTACAACGCTTCTGCACTCACTCCTGATTCCTCTCAACTTGAGGACAGAAGAGCTTTCAGACAATACATGAGAAACAAAGTAACGGGCGTTACATATTTGAAAAAGTAACTCAGATTCGTTACTTTACTAGTCACTTGAAAAGTAATCCTCGTGCCCAACACTGATATTCTCTAATAATACATGTGCAGCATCCTGAACGTAAAGCACTTTATTTGGTCATATTTACGCGTTCTGATTTCTTGCATCTTTTGTATTTTGCGCAACTTGTTCATAATGTGCGTCTTTTCTAATGTTCAATCTATCAGTCAATCTCAACTTTTGGACAATTTTTAAAAATAATCTTTTAAAAGTAGCCTCTCATATTTCCTACATCAGTCTTTTATGGCTCATATAGCATGATACAGGGAGAATATGATCCTCAGTTTTATTCAGAGGCCCAAAACTGAGCAAAAACATGCAGTTTGGTGCATATTTATATGACCAAAAAGTGATGTAATTCTGCTGCTTGTAATGTAAATCAGTGAGATCTTTCTAACAGTTCAGCATACTGACTGACATAAATGATCTAAATATCAGTCGTCGCTCTATATCTCCAGTAATAGTAAGATGAGATTGAAATGCTCCAAACATATAATGCAGTGATTGAGAGCTGAAGAAATAAAGGCTCCTCCTCAGATGTGAGATGTTCTGGAGGCTTGTGAAGATCATTCCTCCGCTGAGGAACAGTGAAAGTAAAGCTTCTGGAAACAAACGCTCCTCAAAAGATCCTGAGGATCAGATTTGAGACTCTAAAACATGATTGATGGAGAATCAAGTAAAGCTGAGCTGCTTCAGTCCAGTAAGTGTTCATCTGGAGATATTGCTGCAGTTATTCTGACCTTAACTTGATAAAAACCAGTCAAGATTTGACTCGTGAAGCTCCAGCTGAAGCAGGACGAACAGAATTGACAAACAGATCCATGTTTACAAAGAAAGTACTTTATTTGCTCAAGAGGAGCAAGAATTCACTTAACATACATCTGGAATTCTCACGTCCCTCTTCATGTGAATTTATAAAATATTCTCAAGTTGAAGCCACAAGACGTGACGTCTGAATAAAAACCTGACTGCCTCCAGGATAAAACTGAACAAAACGATGCAGGCACGAGTACAAAATCACTCCCCGCGGCCGGAGAATGAGGAAGGCCACTCTCGCTCTCCTTTAAGAGTTTACATTTTTGCAATACATAAACAAGAATAATTCATATAATCATCTTTTAGTTGTAAAAGACGATGTTAGTACTAATGAAGAAAAAGAAAATGATCTCTAGAGATAAACTCAACTGTTTCCTTTCAATCTGGATCGAAAACATCAAGAATGAAACCACTGTCGTTTCTGCAAAATTTGGGCACAGTGATTATTCACCTTATAAACAATAAGGAACGTTTCTGTGTGTTAAACGCAAAATTGGCATCTCTAAATGACAAATTATATCCAAGCTCAGAAATATGAAACAATTTGTTCCTGGCGCACTTCAGCACTAGCTTTGCCATTTATCTAACATTTAAAATCAACACAGATAATAACAAAAACAAGTAAACACAAACATTTAACAGAACTTTATAAAAGAAGCAAAAAAACAACAACTCCGGGTCGGCTTGTAAAGACCCATCGCGATCTATTTTTCTCTACTTTGTGTAGAAATATTGACATGAAGTGGCAGCAAATTCATGAATCAACATGTTGAGTTGATCAAATGCGCAGCACGACGCTAATAAATCTGTTAACTACGTACTATCCGAGTAGTTAGATTGAGTTTGAGTCCGGCTTGCGTAAATCCAAAGCTAATTGATAGCTGGCCTCAGAAACGTGTTGATAATACACGGCTGAAATGCTCAGACTTAGTCACATATCTGCATAAAGAGACGCTTCCGAGTGGTTTTCTCTGCAGTTCAGATACGCGTGGTTCGGTTCGGTTCGTTACTTCTAAATGAGACGCACACAAAAAAAGAAAATATCATCCAGCGTTTTCCAATACTTCAGAAATCCACAATGAAAAACGCAAGCTCTGGTATACTCTGGTGAATGGTGGCAGATATTAGAGCGAATCCCATAAAAGCACGGTCAGATATTTCACCCCAAAAATAAAGTAAATAAAATAAAAATATACTTTACCTGAAAAAATTTAAATAAAGCCTACTTTTAGGATCATTATGACTTTTGCATTATTTTTCATTACTTTAATGTGTCCAAGTGTTTTATTCTTGAGTGTTTTTGTAATTATTATTATTATATCCTTACATGTTTTTTAAATGCAATACAGTAAAAATACTGTAACACGATGATTTAAATTTAAATCAGCATAAAGGACACAAAAACTAAACTCTCAATGTGTAATAACTTACATTTAAATTTTTTTACATTCGTTTTTTTTTTTGCATTATAATAATGAAATTTGGAGGCAAATGTGTTGGTCATAAAAATGTGAGAATGAAATGTTCTGTAAAACAGGCTTAATTTAATTAAAAAAAATTTTTTTTTTGTATGATCGCAGATATTAGAGTGAAAAACAAAAACACATTCAGATATTTCACCCCCCTCAAAATAAAATAAAATAAATGTATATTTAATAATATTTGATATAATAAAATATAAAATGGTAATAAAATAAAATAAATGTATTTTACCTGAAGAAAATAAAGCCTATTTTTTAGGATCATTATGAATTTTCACCATTATCTTAATGTATGTGTCCAAGTGTTTTATTTTTGTATTGTTATATCCTTATACATGTAATGTAAGACCGTAAAAAAATAAAAATAAGCATAAAGGACACAATAAACACTATGTATGTATCATTTACATGTAAAAAATGTTTACCGTAAAGATTTATTTATTTTTTTGCATTACAATAATGAGAATTTGAGGCAAATGTGTTGGTCATAAAAAATAATAATATTAACGTTCCATAAAACAGGCTTAAATTTCCTTAAAAAAAATAATTCCTTTTATTTTTAGAGGTGAAATGCGAGCGGTTTTGAGGGATTCACGCATTAGTGGCGATCCCCAAACAGAACCAAAAACATTGCGTATCAAAACTGAACATTTCTCTCTACATCATAAACACAAAACGGTACAAAAGAAAGCCAAACTTGAATACATGAACTACAAAAAAAAAAGGAATCTGTTCCCGCAGCGGAGCTTGACCTTGCTCGTGTGTGTGTGTGTGTGTGTGTGTGTGTGTGTGTGTGTGTGTGTGTGTGTGTGTGAGATATAGAACA